AAGTCATATATACACCCACCAGTGTAGTTTCATGTGTTAGATCATCGTCTTTGAGCACAATATTTCTAAAATATTACTACTTTTTTAAGTAGATACTTCATCATGAGTGCATCTTTTAGTTCCTAAATAATTGATGATGTCATTGTGGCTCCAGTGGTGGTTGAGGAAGGTAAAGAAATATTTTGTGTAAGTCATACATTTATCATAGTCATGAATTTTTAAAATGGTCTTTGCTTTTTAAATGCTGCAAAAGAGAAAAGTGCTACAAAAAATACTTGTAGAACTGCTCAGTTTCTATTTTTCATACATATTTCATGACCACCAATAGATATTAGACTTATTATTACCCAATAAGATATTATATTGCCCAATAATAGATTTATTATTGCAACCCAATGGGACATAAACCTGGTAGCTTTATGCATCTTTGTACTAACCAGGCATAACCAGCAAGTACACTGAGTGGCCACCAGGACCAACAGTGTCAAATACTGCTCCTTCCACCATAGAGAACAAGGAGGTGGGTCTCCCCAAGTATCTGGATTCAGTAAAAAAAAAATGTACATTTTATCAGCAAGAGTGTTGTGTGGTGTCCATTAAAGGAAGGTATGGCAGATCATTACAATAAAAGTCTGTAATGAAGCAAAGCATGACTTTTTGTGTAAATGCTCTTTACAATGAAACATTGTCATTTCTCCATCAGGCAAAACAGAATCTGTTTTTCCCTTTTTTGTTGTTTGTTTGTTTGTTTTTGGTACTGGAGAGTGAACCCAGAGGCACTTTACTATTTAGCTATATCCCCTGTTCTTCTGTATTATGGTCTCTAGAGGAACAGAATCAACAGGATGTGTGTGTGTGTGTGTGTGTGTGTGTGTGTGTGTGTGTGTAGTTTTATATATGATTATAAAAAAAGGGATTTATTAGATTGGCTTACACAACCAGAAGCTGAATTTTCCCACAATGGCCATCTGTAGGCTGCAGAGCTGGAAGAACCAGAAAGCAGTGCAGTTCAAGAAGCTGAAACCTCAGAACAAGAGGGATCAATGATGACCAGTCCTGACTAAAGGCCTGGATACTCCCTGGAGAGTGACTGGGAAGAATGTACTTTGGAAGAGTGAAAGAGCTGTAGTCTGATGTCCTCAAGCAACCACAGCAGCAATCAAGAACACCTTCAAGAAGAATTGAGCTTGCATCTGCTGCTGCTTCCTTGTTCTTCCAAAGTTTGTTCCATCCAAGTCCAACCTACTGGATGGTGTAGCCACATGTGAGGTGGGTCTGTGTTCAGTTTGTGTCCCACATACCAGTCATTCCTAGAAACACCCTCAAGAAGCCTCAATCTTAGGTGTTTTTTAATCTAAGAGGATTGAAAATTCAGAGTAACCCTTACAACCTTTTAAAAGTGTTTTTTTAGTTGTAGATAGACACAATATCTTCATTTACTTATTTCTAAATGGTGCTGAGGATGGAACCTAGTGCCTCACACTTGCAAAGCAGGCACTCTACCACTGAGCTACAGCCCCAGCCCACCATTACACCTTTTAAATTTTTATTTGGGGATAGGATCTTGCTAAATTGCTGAGGGTCTTTCTAAATTGCCTAGGCTGGCCGAACTTGTGATCCTTCTGCCTCAATGCTCCAGGTTGCTGGAATTATAGGTATTCACCATCATGCCTGATTCAGAATGTTATTACACTCTCTTTAATATGGGTTGACCTTATGCCTTGCTTTAATCAACAGAATGTGGTGAAAATAATATGAGTTCTGGAGACTAAGTCTTACGGCTTCTACCTTGCAACTCCAAGAAGAAGTCCAGATCAGAGGCCACATGAGTAGTCAAGACATGCCAGCTCAAAGCCAGTACTAAGGCCAGAGTAAATGAAATCATCCAAACCCACTAAATGCATCCATCTGAGTAAGCCCAGATGAAATCAGTGGAAGAAACACCCAGTCAATCCACAGAATTGTGAGAAGTAACTGTTATTTAAGTCTAATGGTTTAGGATGCAGAAATAGATAGTTGATAACAGAGATGTTAATTACATTTCACCCAGAAAAGGTCAGCCAAAGAAGGATAAATTATGACTGGTCACCTGCACATTTATTCATGTGCTAAGTGTTCACATTGATAGTATACATGTGTTTTGTGACCAGCTCACAGTACTGGCAGCTGGAAGTTTATCAAACTTATCCTGGATTATTTTAACATCACTTAGTAAGGCATCACTTAAAATCCTTTTAAAGAAGCACTCTGTACCAATGCTAAATCCAGTGAAATTCTAAGATAACAAGCACAAGCCATAACTGTCAGGAAAATGAAACACAGGGCCATATTAGCCATAGGGAAAATTGAATTTCTGATCATCAGGAATTGGGGTTCTACCAATTGTATTCAAAATTCAAATAATAAACTTTTTGAAGCATTCAAAATTCCACTGATCCCAATCTGGACACACAAGAAAATTTCTTTCTTACTCATTCTTGACAAACTAGCAATTAAAATTTGACTCTGTGATCTTTAACCTATACAAATAAAAAAAAAGGTATCAATTATCCTAATAGCAAATACATCAAGATTTTGTTCTTCATGAGATGAATGGCTTTTTAAAATCTATAATGATATCCTCCATCAATGAGTCCCTAGGAGCCCAAAGCCCTCATGTACCCACATTCAGGACTGCTGAAGGCACTTGGATGCTCTCTGTACCACATTTCAAAATCTTACCTTTTCTGATGCATTTTTTTTTTTGTCCTGGAATGTTGTATCAAAATGCAAAGTTTAAGATTCCAATTGATTTTTGAAGGATGAAAAGGATATACTAATGTCTTTAAGGATGTTTATTATTCCATTTCCTCTAAGTATGTGATTTTGTTCTGTGAAGTAGGTGACATTATTTAAAAAAAAAAAACTAAGGAATTTTGGAATTGCTTTTGCCTAGAAACAAGTGTCAAGAACTTTGTTTTCTATATTATACTAGTTGGGAAGTACACAAACACATTGTAGTGCGTGTCCACACACACACCCACACAAGCATACTTTCTTCAAATGAGTACTTAGAGAGGAGTTAGTAAAATCTTTTTCATCTGAGGGCTGCCGCCATCTCTGGAAACATCTTGTATCTGCCCACATAGAATGTGTTTGTAGTACAGTGTTTCTGGCAAATGTAAGTCTTCAGGACATAACAGAAATAGGCGGGTGCTTGCCCACTGTGACTGCTGGAGCAGAGAAACCATTCACAGTGTTGGTGATTGGCTTCTTATTTTTCCTCGGACAAAGCTCTTTAGACATTTATATTCTTGATTCTTATTAGGAAATTATACAGTAAAGGCTCTTTTTAAATAACTAACTTGGTTTGTATTGTTTATCACATGGGAATGTTTTGGAAATTTGGCATAACTCCTCCTATTTGCAATTTGTACTTTCCTTATTCTCTTTTAAATCTAAGTACTCTTTATGCATACACAGAGAGACTCTAACACACAGGAGGAAAATCCTTAATATTAAAAGCTGTTGATAGCATTACTGGAATTCAAAATCCTTAACGTGACCAACTTAAATTATTGTATAGATGATAAAATCTAACTTACATGGGACAAAGAAGAAGGTGAAAGAAGACAAAAAGTAGACTTGCTTTTAAAAACCCCAAACTAAATTCAGTAGTTGAATTTAAAGGAGAGTACTACTAATTAGGGGGAAAAAATCCTCCAGGAGAAAAAAACTGTGGAATGAGTTTTTAAGCTCAAAAGAGGAACTGGTGTGATTTGAGATGATAACCTAGAATAGGACCATCATTCCCAGTTACTGCCAAAAAAATAGAAAATAAAAAGAGCAGTATAAACACTTCTCAGGAAATCACTAGAAAATTCTTTTGTTTTCAAAAGAAACATGTTCTTTCATCAACAGATTAAAGATATCATAAGCCACAGTCTATTAAACAGATCATCCCTTGGCTCTCATCCAGTTCTAGTACCAATTTCCTCTGTATGTTTGAACAGACGCAATCCCTAGTGTCTGTCTGCCCGCAGAGCACAGAAATCTGTTATTTAGTTTGCAATAATAGTCATCCTGAGCATGTACCTCTAAAGTAATGCCCTGACTTATGTGTTACATAAATTTTTTGAGTCTCGGGCTATTTGAGATCTTGTATTGGGTTCCATTATGTTTATACTCCTTTATTTATAATGCCAATAACAATTATTTGTTGGGGTTTTTCACTGCATTTGTTTAGGCCACTACTTCCTTTGTTTTCCCCTAAACTTTCTTCTGAAATATTATTACTCCATTTTACATACGTGGAAATCACACTCAAATTGGAAATGCATATTGTTATATTTTATATTTAAAATGCCAGTGATGATTGACTTCTTATCCTTATCTCCTCCTAAGGAAAACTGCCCTGTCCACTCTCCCTGATGCATCCATGGCCATGCCCTATGCTAATAGGTCCATTGTCTACTCCCATCCCAACCCCCAGCCCACCCACACATAACTGCTTGGTTCTGACACAGTTACCCGCCCAAGGGACTTCTAATGAATAGGCTCCAGGAGTAGTAACACTTCCTGGAATAAATACTTATCTTAGCCAATCAGATTCTTGCTTTTATGAGTCAGAATTGGGCAACAGAGTCAGTCACAGGAATAGAAGAAGGTAAATGTCAAGATCAGGGCCAGCTCTCTGGAGTGTGATTGCTCAGATGCCAGAGTTCCAAGCTTGGAAAGTCTTCAGCCTTGGTTGAATGCTCTGCTGTCACCATCTTGAAATTCTTAATGGTTTTGGAACAAGAGGCCCTAAATATTCATTTTACACTGGGCCCAACGATGACATGTCTGATGTGAGTCATGACAGAGATATTCTCAACTGGAAGAATGGGTTCTAAAAGAAATACCGGTTTTTAGGAGGTAGGGATGGAGTGGGACAGGAAGGAAGTGAAAAATTTGAGAAGACATATTCAATTTTAGAACTTATGTTTTATTTTAGAAAAATATAATCAAACTATGAATTTTATAATGCTAACTTGATAAAACAACAACAATAATAACAACACAACAACATTCTTTTGTTGTTGCTGTGTTACAAAGAAAATACAGATTCGTGACTGGAGTTTTTCCTCCCCTAATTCTGAGGGATGTGTTATAACTTCTGGCTAAGTATGAACAAGATGTTTATGTTTATGAAAAGCTGGTATTCTCTAAGGGTTGAGAAACACTGGAGTAGAATGTGTCACACCCATGATGCAAAGTAAGAGCTGGTTATAAGGAGTGAAGTGAAGTTCAGGCGTTGGTCTCTTCACTCAGCACACTCACACAATCATCAAGTACCTGAGCTCCTCTGTGTGCCCCTCTACTGCTCATTTATATGAAGAATAAGAAGGCAATTGGTGTCTGGTTTTTAGTGAAAGAAGGGGAGGGGGTAACGGGGTAGGAAAGGTAGGAGGATGAATCAGATATAATTACCCTATGTACATATATGACTACATGACTGGTGTGATTCTACATTATGTACAACCAGAAGAATGAGAAATCATACTCACATTCATGTGTGATATATCACAGTGTATTCTACTATCATGTATAACTAATTAGAACAAATAAAAAATAAAAATAAAAAAGAAGACACTTGAAAGAAGAATACGAATCTTCTTTTCTTCCTTACATACAATTACAGAGATTGTTATTTCTAAAAATCAAAAACTTTTTGCACCTAATTGGTGTAATTATGTTATATTTCAGCTCTTGGTACCTAGAGCTTCAGAATCCCTTTGAACTCCAGACACTCTCTCCTCCTTTCAACTTTAGGAAGAGTGCTATGAGAAACACATTTTGCTTTGATTTGAGAAGAAGCTTTCTTTTGCGAATGGCCACGAACCTGCTTCCAGCTTCTCATAGCGGCAACTTTGGCATTAATAGAATGGAACTCTTAAGACATCAGGTTTTTACCTGTAAGTATGAAAACACAGTCTCAAATGAAAGAAACAATCATCAGGGCTTTTAGCCATTTCAGATAATCTATTTATGAAATAATAGTAAATTCTGGAAAATGTGAGTTTTTTTCCTTTCATTTCAAAACATGTGAGGCATTTTATGTTTGATTTAAATGCCAAGATTCTGCGGGCATAGAACACAATTACTTTGCAATTCATTTGGGAACCAGCATGGAATGGAAACTTAAATATCCTATCAGTAACTTCCAGTTATTTTGTTTATTTCAATTCTAGACATTCCTTTTCACCACTCTGGAAAATTTCTGCACTGTAAATATATATTTTCTCTGTTGAAGTGACTTACCATATTATTTTGAGGAACTTTTCAGAATTGAATGGCATCTCTTGAAATAGCTAAAGACCCCTGGGGTGCTACAAAATTCAAATAATAAAAGCATTAAAAGTAGCCAGGAAAAGTATTAGAAGCAAGTAGAGATGAAACTTTCCTTTGTTTTGGAATATATGTATATACATACAACACACACACACACACACACACACACACATCTTTTCCTCTGCAAATATCCACTCCTGTGCTCACTATCAGACAAAATTTTTATCTTTCTAGAGTTTTAAACATTTAAATAATATTTTCATTACATTGTACTGGTAACGATTTATTTTATAGAATTAGCTGAATTTTATAATGTGACTTTGGTAATCCTCAGATCCTGAAAGAGAATAAGAGTATCTGAAATGTCATAATGAAGAGGAATCATTTGCTTTTTCTTCTATTGAGAAATGACAGCATTTTGGCTCAATTTT